CTCCTCCTCCCTCTTTGTCCCTAAGGGCAGTCAGGGTTTCCTGCCCTGTGGGAAGTTCAAGTTCCTCCCCCCTCCCTCCAGGTCCAGGAAGGTGAATATCCAAACAGACTGGATCCCAAAAATCCAGTATATGCAGAGGAAACTAGTCCCAGTGTTATTGTCAATGGCTTCTCAGAAAGACTCTGGGCCAGCCACATTCAGAGAATCCGGCCACATTCAGAGCATCTGGTTGGATCACGTGCTCGTTCAGTTGCAGTCCAACTGCCTTGGTAAACTCTCATTAGATCCGACCCCTTGTATCAGTGGGTGATAGCATCCCTCGCAGTCCTTCGTCATTTTCTTCGTCCTTCTGCTCCTCATTTGGACCTTGGGGGGCTCAGTCCGGTGCTCCAATGTGGGTCTCCGTCTGTATCGCCATCCAACGCCAGATGAAGGATCTATGGTGATAAGCAAAATATTCATCAGTATGGTTATGGGCCAAGGCCGGTTCAGGCACCCTCTCCTCTGTCCAGAGAACAATCTGGGGATCTCTCCTTGGACCTGGAATCCCATATATAATCAAGTTTCCTGTAAACCCTAAAATGACTCCCTTAGTTGAAATATATTCTTCCCTGCTCCCATATTCATCCTTCCTCCCTTCCCCCCATCCCGGTCAACCGAGCTTTCTCCATTCCTCCCCTACTCCCTTCTCTCTAACCCTCTCCCCTTCCAACAACCCTCCCCCCCATGCACCCAAGGTTACCTGGGACTCTTGACTATTTCCTATCTCCTGGCGGATAGCTAAATAATCTTCATCAGGTTCGTCTTCTTATTTAACTTCTTTAGGATCACGAATAATAGGCTCAAAGAGCTTTAATTATGGTTAGAATCCACTTATGAGTGAATACATACCGTGTTCCTCTTTTTGGGTCTGGCTTACCTCACTCAGTAAAGCGTTTTCTATGTCCATCCATTTGCATGCAAAATTCAAGATGTCATTATTTTTTACTGCTGAGTAAAACTCTAATGTGTTTATGTTCCACACCTTTTTTAACCATTCTTCTATTGAGGGGCACCTAGGCTGTTTCCAGGTTCTGGCTATTACAAATAGTGCTGCTATGAACATAGTTGAACAAATGCTTTTGCAGTATGTTAGGGAATCTCTAGGGTATATTCCCAAGAGTGGAATTGCTGGGTCCTGAGGGAGGTTGACTCCCAGTTTCCTGAGAAACCGCCACACTGATTTCCACACTGGCTGCACAACTTTGCATTCCCACCAACAATGGATGAGTGTTCCCCGCATTCCACATCCTCTCCAGCATAGGCTATCATTGGTGTTATTGAGTTTAGCTATTCTGACAGGTGTAAGATGGTATCTCAAAGTGGTTTTGATTTGCATTTCCCTGATCGCTAAGGAGTTTGAGCATGACCTTAAGTGTCTTCTGGCCATTCGAAGTTCATCTGTTGTGAATTCTCTGTTCAGTTCAGTACCCCATTTTTTAATTGGGTTAATTAGAGTTTTAGTGTCTAGTTTCTTGAGTTCTTTGTATATTTTGGAGATCAGACCTTTGTCTGATGAGGGGTTGGTGAAGATCTTCTCCCAGTCAGAAGGCAGCCTTTTTGTCTTACTGACAGTGTCCTTTGCTTTACAGAAGCTTTTCAGTTTCAGTAGATCCCATTTATTCATTGTTTCTCTTATTGTCTGTGCTGCTGGGGTCCTACTTAGGAAGAGGCCTCCTGTGCCTATATCTTGTAGACTACTTCCCACTTTCTCTTCTATCAGGTTCAAAGTGGACGGATTAATGTTGATGTCTTTAATCCATTTGGACCTGAGTTTTGTGCATGGTGATAGGTATGGATCTACTTACATCCTTCTACAGGCTGACATCCAGTTATGCCAGCACCATTTGTTAAAGATGCTTTCCTTCTTCCATTGTATACCTTTAGCTCCCTTGTCAAAAATTAGGTGCTCATAGGTTTGTGGGTTAATATCCGGGTCTTCTATTCGATTCCAAAGGTCGATTTCTCTGTTCTTATGCCAATACCAAGCTGTTTTCAATACTGTAGCTCTGTAATAGAGTTTGAAGTCAGGGATGGTAATGCCTCCTGAAGTTCCTTTATTGTATAAGATTGTTTTGGCTATCCAGGGTTTTTTGTTTTGCCATATAAACTTGATTATTGTTTTCTCAAGGTCTGTGAAGAAGTTTGATGGGATTTTGATGGGGATTGCATTGAATCTATAGATTGCTTTTGGTAGAATTGCCATTTTTACTATGTTGATCCTCCCAATCCAAGAACAAGGGAGATCTTTCCATTTTCTGGTATCCTCCTCAATTTCTTTCTTCAAAGACTTAAAGTTCTTGTCAAATAGGTCTTTCACTTCCTTGGTTAGAGTAACCCCAAGATATTTTATGCTATTTGTGGCTATCGTGAAAGGTGATGTTTCTCTGATTTCCCTCTCTGCTTCTTTATCCTTTGTGTATAGGAGGGCCACTGATTTTTTGGAGTTGATCTTGTATCCTGCCACGTTACTAAAGGTGTTTATCAGCTGTAGGAGTTCTTTGGTAGAGTTTTTGGGGTCGCTTATGTACACTATCATATCGTCAGCAAATAACAAATGTTTAACTTCATCCTTTCCAATTCGAATCCCCTTGATCTCCTTATGTTGTCTTATTGCTATTGCTAGAACATCAAGCACTATATTGAAGAGGTATGGAGAGAGTGGACAGCCTTGTCGTGTTCCTGATTTTAGTGGAAAGGCTTTGAGTTTCTCTCCATTCAATTTGATGTTAGCTGTCGGCTTGCTGTATATTGCTTTTATTATATTTAGGTATGATCCTTGTATCCCCAGTCTCTCCAACACCTTTATCATAAAGGGGTGTTGAATTTTGTCAAATGCTTTTTCAGCATCTAATGAAATGATCATATGGTTTTTTTCTTTCAGTTTATTTATATGATGGATTACATTGATAGATTTGCGTATGTTGAACCAGCCCTGTATCTCTGGGATGAAGCCTACTTGATCATAATGGATAATTTTTCTAATGTGTTCCTGGATTCGGTTTGCCAGGATTTTATTGAGAATTTTCGCGTTGATGTTCATGAGTGAGATTGGCCTGTAATTCTCTTTCTTAGTTGTGTCTTTGTGTGGTTTTGGTATTAAGGTAACTGTAGCTTCATAAAAGGAGTTTGGCAATGACTCTTCTGTTTCTATACATTAAGGAGTATAGGTATTAGCTCTTCCTGGAAGTTCTGGTAGAATTCTGCATTGAAACCATC